CTCATTCAGCTACCAACCATTTGACAAGTGCGACATGTTCGGCAATAACGTGCAACATCCTTAAGCAGACCTGGCCAGAAGAAATTCCTTATTATTTTACGGTAGGTGTTCTCCACCCCCAAATAACCACCTAAATAATCATGCGCCAGACTTAAGATATTGTGTCGGTAGTAAGGTGTGTGCCGCGATCCGATAGATCTCGTGCTACTCTTCATTAGCAGGAGCATCAGCCGGTCTGAACTTACACATAAGTACCCCGGATTTTAGATAATAACAAGCAGGACTTTTACAAGCTTCTGATTCATCAACTGCTCTGGAGAACATAGTCCCCAAATTTGAGTCCTCCTTTTGTGCCTGAATTAATGCATTCCTTAGGACCGAAAATTGTCCAACCTCACAGGTCTCTAATTTCTTTTTGGTTTCATTATAGTCACTACCTGATACTACTTGGAAACCATAATTCTCAACAAAAAGATTGCCCAGACAAAAAACATCTGCATTATCATCAGTCTGGTATCACTGAGCTGTGGCAGACATACTACGAGTTATAGCACACGAAGGAAATATCCCTGGGAACTCTTTCTATAACTCTGCAGTATTATTTCTACTAGAAGGAGTCTTTGTTACAATCGGGTCTCATACAATTCTACGGCCAGTAATGTCGTTCCCCAGCAAAAAAAAGTTACTCCTTCCACAGGCAAAGAATCTTTCACATCTTCAGTTACTTATTTTGAAACTATTTTTGTTCTCAAGTATATTCTACAAAGAGGAACAGTAACATTGCCACAAAATCCTTGAAGGATCAGACTCTCGCCAGTGAAGTGTCGCCTAGAAACATAAGAACATAAGAACATAAGAATGGAGGAAACTGCAGCGGGCCTATTGGCCCATACTGGGCAGTCCCGTTTACACCCAACCCCTATTGCTCATATGAGCATCCAACCTATGTTTGAAGCAGTTCAGCGTATTCGAGTTAATGATGATATTTGGTAACTTGTTCCATTCATCCACTACTCTGTTTCCAAACCAGTGTTTACCTATATCACGCCTAAATCTAAATTTGTCTAATTTAAAACCATTGTTACGAGTTCGCTCCTGGTTGGATAGTTTGAGTACCTTTGTAATGTCCCCTTTGTTTAGCCCTGCCTTCCACTTATACACCTCTATCAGGTCGCCCCTCGCTCTACGTCTCTCAAGGGAGTGCAAATTAAGATGCTTTAACCTGTCTCTATACTCAAGGTTCCTAATGCCCGGGATTAGTCTCGTCATTCTCCTCTGAATTCTTTCCAAGGATTCTATATCCATTCTGTAATACGGTGACCAGAACTGAACTGCGTAATCCAGGTGTGGTCTCACAAGAGCAAGATACAGTTTTAGGATGACCTCGCTAGTCTTGTAACTAACACTCCTTTGTATGAACCCAAGTACTTTATTAGCCTTGTTACGAGCAAAAACACATTGTTTACTTGGCTTAAGGTTCCTACTTGTCATTACTCCTAAATCTCTCTCGCAGTCGGATCTCTCTATGGCATCGTTGTTCATCTGGTATCTGGTTTCCCTGTTTACATCTCCTATACTGAGTACTTTACATTTGTCGACGTTGAATTTCATCTGCCATTTTTCAGACCATTCGAAAATTTTTTTTAGATCTTCCTGTAGTTTTGCCGAGTCCTCGTCAGATTTGATAACACGTCCTATTTTAGTGTCATCAGCAAACTTACTTATGTTGCTGTCTATGCCGATATCTATGTCGTTTATGTATATAATAAATAATAATGGTCCAAGTACTGAGCCTTGGGGAACTCCACTTGTGACGTTGCTCCAATGGGACTTAGTGCCGTTAATGCTCACTCGCTGTTTCCTGTCCTGTAACCACGCCCTAATCCATTTAAGGATGTCACCTTTGATGCCATGAGCATCTACCTTTCTAATTAGTCTTTCGTGGGGGACTCTGTCGAAGGCTTTGCTAAAGTCGAGATATACCACATCATAATTGTGCCCCTCGTCCACCGATTCGAAAACTGATGAAAAGAATGTTAATAGATTAGTTAGGCAAGAACGTCCGCTTGTGAAGCCATGCTGGGAATCATTGATCTATCTGTGCTTCTCCAGGTGATTTCGAATAGAGTTTGAAATGATTGCTTCCAGTAATTTGCCTACTATTGATGTTAGACTGATTGGGCGGTAGTTAGAGGATAGTGATCTATCCCCCTTCTTGAAAATCGGTATTACATTCGCTATCCTCCAGGATTCTGGTACTACACCTGTTTTTAATGACATTTTAAACAACTTTGCTAAGGGCATACTAAGCTCTTCCTTACATTCCTTTAATACTCTGGCAAATATCTCATCGGGACCAGGTGACTTATTAGGCTTTAGTTTGTCTATTTGCTTACTAACATCGTTACTAGTCACTACTATCTCACTTAATTTGTTTTCTTCACTATCTCTGAATAGAGTCAGTGCCTCGGGTATCATGTTTAAATTTTCGGTGGTGAAAACTGTTGAAAAATATTTATTCAAATTATTGCTCATTTCTCCGTCGTTATCAGTGAGAGGCACCACTAGCTGGCACAGACCCATTAAATAAAAATGGTTCAAATGAAACCTAACGTTCAAGTGGTACCAACATGTCACTTGAAGCAACACTATCTAGAGTCTTTGGCAAACTGAAGACAAGGTTAGCATGTTTACTCTGTTCCTTTTCAGCAAGCTTTGGACAATTTCCGATCACATGGCCAGAATTACTTACAATAAAAACAGATCACGTTACCTGGGGGAAATGCAGACTTAGTAGAATTAGATACTAAGTTCGGTTTCGATGTAGAACATTGTGTTTTCTCATCTCACCACCTCGCTTAATACCTGAAACCCTTGTTGCTACCCCCTTAGACTGCACAGGATAAGACAGGGTCCTGTGAAAAAATCCTACATAAGTAAGGCCTTAACACCAGCCATGCAGTTTAGTAATTGAGCACATCGAAGGGAAAGATAGTTAGCAGATGCTTTGTCCCGAGTAAACGCCTGGGATGCTTCTGGTTTAAATGAAAGCCTTATCGTTTCCCTCATATGTTTTTTTTAGGGGGGAGATGAAGTAAAAACGTGGTAAGGACTGCCAAGAGTCGCCATACTGGACTGTTTTAATGCCTCGACTCCTTCATTAGAGGTTTGGTGTTGGGTTAACGACACGAGAACAGCCAGTCAAATTGTGGACAGTATGGTTGCCGGCTGTGAGTCTCATCTCTTTCTCCTCCATAGTGATGAGTACATTGTTATTTGTATTGTGTGAACTCTCTTCACTTATGTTATAAGTGTTCCCGCTCAAGTTGGGTTAAGTACAGTACAGCATATTGTAATTTATTTAATTGTAGGTTTAACAGTGTTGTTTGTCAATGGCTAAATTCTCGAATTGAGCAACTTCCTATTTAGTTATTTTGCCATTATTGTTATCTTATTTGTTGGTTTTGTTTCACAGATACCTGAGATTAATCATTCTTTGAAAATGTTACATGGTATACAGTTATATTAGTCGAGAACCGAATAGAAGGGAGAGTTTACATAACAATATCTTGGAAATAGGCACTAATAAAAGAGATGTTAGAATTCTAGAAACTCCTTACTGGCAATGGGAGGCTGCAGTGTTAGTAAACGATGAACCTACCAACTGGTTCAACGTTAGACTGGGAAAAAGACAAGACTGTGTTCTATCTCGAACATCGAATGATATATATTCAGAATTCGTAATGAGAGAAGGAAAGAATAAAAGTTTATGGTAAAGTAACATCAATATACCCTATGCAGATGTTACTGCTCTTATTACAGTTAATGATAAGTAATGTTTGTTTCCAAATTGGAAATAAATCCCATAATAAAAATTATGGTGGGCAAGAAGTGGATAAAGGTGTGTATTTGGGAAGTAACATTAATTGTGATGGTAGATGATCAAAATAAATCAAAACAAGAATAAGTCAAGCAAAAAATAACTTTTAATGTATAAAAGGGGCTGCTGAAATGCTACATGTGGTCAGGACTGAAGCGAGGACACTTTCAACAGGCAGCAGAAAGAGGTTAGATGGCATAGAGGCCTTTGAATTGTTAAAATAAGTTACACTAACAGGAAAAAAAATGAAGAAGTACTAAGATTCGCAAAACCCCCAAGAGAAATACTTGAAATTTGCAGAAAAGGGAAAATGAGATACTTTGGTCACATAATCAGGAATGAGGGATAATAGAAGAAATATTATTGGGCAAAGTTAGGGGTAGGAGGGCCAAGGGAAAGCAAAGACTCAGCTGGATGAATGAAAATTAAAACTGGGTCTCGAGAAAGATATAAAATCTTGGAGGATTGGTAAAAACAGCCAGAAAACGTTCAGAGTGAAGGACTGTGGTCGCCAACCATCAGATACCAGGACGTTACTCTGACTGACTGGTTGATTGATTGATTGATTGATTGATTACCTCGCTTAGCTCGTTTCTGTGTCATTTTTCAATAATCCTCTGCTCAGCCCGAAATAGAATGTCACCAATAATTCAAATATTTTAGTGAGCTGGCATATTGACGATGTACAATATTTATTACTCTCTGACCTTATCTGAGCAAATTGAACTGTATGTCAATAAATTTAAAACTAATTAAAACCTAAAATGTATTGATATTTTTTTGTTAATTAGGCATATTTTGTTCATGATGTTAATAATTAGCGTTTTATACAGAAGTTTGTTTTGAGTAACGCTGGGTCTCCTAGCGACGGAATTCCAGCGTAACGTAGTGAAGGGAGTGGTCGAGCCTCACCTGTCAACCCACCCACCTCCTTCACGTTGCATCACGTTGAGTACTTAACAATATTAATTTATCAACTTTCTTTGTAAATTTACTTATTCTTATTTAGAACAATATTAATGAGAATGTGTGAAGCAAAACAATATTTCGTTTAAAGGTCTTGTTAAAGGCCGTCCTTACAGCTAGCAACACCTGGCAGTTTTATCATTTTCGGGGCGTACTGTATATATCGAACCATTGTATCACTGTCACTAGTTGGCTACAGTACCTAACTCATGGCAGAGACACAGTGTTGGTGAGTGTTGCACGTGTATTTATATTACACTATTGTTTAATACACTGCCAATATTATCTTTTTTTCTGTAAGAAAGGTTTTACACACTACTTAATTGAATTGTATAGTAGAATCAACTTTCCTGAAATATATTACCTCATAAGACTTATCTAAACCAATATAAAGTCATGAGTTACGCACAGTACATCGAGTAACTGTTATTATTTCATTGAAAATCTTGATTAGAGCACCAAACTGTAGGCAGAAAGTGGACCAAGACGCCCCCTTAGGAAACCACTCCTGAACGTCTAACTTTACCTCAACGATTATAGATGGAACCCTACAGTACAGTATTTTAAAATTAATTGAATTACGGTATGTAACATCTGAGAACATCTGTGAAACAGTTTTAGTTTTATCCGTTTGAGAATTAAGAAAGAACTAGTTAACATTCTAGATTTAATTTTTTTACACAGTTAGCGTCAGCCACAAAAGCTTACTAATTCATATCGTATTCTCGGATTACGAAAAGTATTGACCCCGGTGTGGGGTCTGCTGGAGGCGCCCCTTAAATTATTCAGGCCACCAGCTGACCCATGAATCACTCAGCGTCAGCCGCTCGGGTGTCGCATGAACCAAGGTATAAAGACCTTGACATGAACCACTCTGCGTCAGCTGCTCGTATGTTCTAAATGTGAATTGATCGCTGGACATTCCTGGTAATTTAGCCTGGATTCTTTAACTATGCAGTGGAATACTAAATGGGAGATTTTTGTTTTAATATATATATATATATATATATATATATATATATATATATATATATATATATATATATATATATATATATATATATATATATATATATATATAGTCACGGACAGGGCTGACAACGAAGGTACAAGAATCTTAATTGTTGGTGATTCCCAGGTACGGTACCTGGATAGAACTTTGTGGGGTAAAAATAAAAATAATATGAGGGTGTGTTTACCAGGAGCTGGGGTGGGGGATATAGTTGACAGGATGGACAATATCTTATCTGGTAATGAGAACAAATCCATTATCTGCCTCAATGCAAGAGGCAATGATATTGGCCGGTGTAGGAGTGAGGCGCTCCTTGATAAGTTCATGACAGCAATAGAACAAATTAGGGTGAAGGGAGGGATCCCTATCATATGTGGTGTCCTGCCTAGAAGGAGAGTTGGCAGTGAATGGTTGTCAAGGGCAGTTGGTGTCAATTGCCGTCTTAACGGATATTGCAAGTCAATATCAGTCCCATTCATTGACAACTGAGACAATTTTTATGGTAGAATGGACCTTTATGCTAGGGATAGGGTGGCAACCCTGGTTGGTTTTCTCGAGAGAGAGCAGTTCAAAAGATGTCGAAGTCTTTAAACTGTTAGGGGAATATGTGAGCACGGAGGTGAAGGAGACTACAGTGGGAGCGGGTAAACAAAGTGAAAGGTTGCAGATAAATAGTGCTCGAAATGATAACAAAAATAAATAAGACAGGGAGTTAAAACCTAAACGCGACAAAGAGAGGACTCAGATCCCGACTAACTTAAATGTCTACCATGCAAACAGTAGACGTATGAGAAACAAAATTTATGAAATCAGGGCGTTGGTATGTACCGAAAAAAAATCGATATAATAGCATTCACCGAAACATGGATAAACCTAGACTCACGTGAGTTACCTGTCGAATACCAAATTGCAAGTTACAAATTTTTCCATACCGATAGGCAGATTAGGAAAGGAGGCGGAGTAGCCATCTACTGTGTGTCAGGGATAATCTGAAGTGTGAAATAAATAAGGAAATAAAAATTGATCTGAATACAGAAAAAAATGGATAGAATTAACCAAAGATAGGGAAAAATTAGGCCTCGGTGTAATCTTAATAGAGTTAATGAACGACTTATTTGGGATGAAATGTGCAGGGCATCCAGACATAGCAAAGTCTGTATAGTAGGCGACTTTAACATTAGTCAAATAGATTGGATCGACCTTACAGGTAACTCAGAATCAGAGGATTTTCTTGAAACAGTTCAGGACTGTTTCCTAAGTCAGCATAAAGCCGAACCCACCCGGGGGAATAATATACTCGATTTAGTTTTGTCAAACAGAGAAAACCTCATTAGTAATATTGAGGCAGGGAACGAACTAGCTAACATTGATCACAAATAAGTGAGATTCAAATTAGAATTTAATGGCAGTCACAAGGAAAATTCAATTAAAGTCCCAGAATTCAGAAGGGCAAACTTTGATAGATTCAAAAGGCAGCTGAGAGAAGGGGTATCACCTTTGGGGGTGAATTACATGACCTCACACAATGTACCCACCTCACTTTACCTGGAGACCTGACAACGATAACATCACAAAATATGACGATTGTGGGTGGCCTGATTACGAGATCTGAGGTTGACGAGTTTCACAAAAATTAAATTAATGCACAAAGGCAGAACATACCATACAGAAAACTCAGATCAAATAACAATTACCCCAAATGGATAAATAATTATTTGAAGAATATTATTGGACCAAGGAAGGCTATATGTAGGAGAATATATTGTGGTAAAGCTTACCTCAAAGATTATTATAAGGTATTCACCTCCGAAATTTTAAACATAATCCCCGAGACACCGACAATATGCAGAGATAGTGAAGAAAATAGATTAAGGGAGATAGTAGTGACTAGGTACGATGTCAGTAACCAAATAGACAAGCTAAAGCCTAATAAGTCACCAGGTCCCAATGAGATATTTTCCAGAGTATTAAATTTTTTTAACATGTCAGTAAAAACGGGTGTAGTACCAGAATCCTGGAAGATAGCGAATTTAATACTTATTTCCAAGAAGTGAGATAGAGGACTACCCTCTAAGAACCATCCAATCAGTTTAACATCAATTGTAGGCAAATTAATGGAAACAATAATTTCAAACTCTATTCGAAATCACCTGGCGATGCACAAGTTGATCACTGATTCCCAACATGACTTCACAAGTGGGCGTTCATGTCTGACTAATTTATTAACATTCTTTTCAGCTGTTTTCGAATGAGTGGACGACGGGCACGATCGTGATGTGTTATATCTCGACTTTAACAAAGGTTTCGACAGGAAACAGGACAGGAAACAGCGAGTGAGCATAAACGGCACTAAATCCGATTGCAGTTACGTCACTAGTGGAGTACCCCAAGGCTCAGTAGTTGGACCAATATTATTTATCATTTACTTAAGCGACATAGATATAGGCGTAGACAGCAACACAAGTAAATTTGCTGACGACACTAAAATAGGGCATGTAATTAAATCTGAAGAGGACTCCGTAAAACTACAGGAAGACCTGAACAAATTTTCGAATGGTCTGAAAAATGGCAGTTGAAATTTAATGTGGACAAATGTAAAGTATTTAGTCTAGGAGATTTAAACAGAGAAATCAGATATCTGATGAACAATGATGTTTTAGAGAAATCCGGCTGTGAGAAAGAGTTAGGATCAGTACGAACCTTCGACCAAGTAAACAATGTGTATTTGCTCGAAACAAGGCTAACAAAGTATTTGGGTTCCTACAAAGGAGTGTTAATTACAAGAGGAGCGAGGTTATTCTAAAATTATATATTGCTCTTGTGAGACCTCGTTTGGATTACGCGGTCTGGTCACCTTACTACAGAATGGTGTAGAATCCCTAGAAACCATTCAGAGGAGGATTACAAGACTGATCCCGGGCATTAGGAGCCTTGAGCACAGAGACAGATTAAAACATCTTAATTTGCACTCCTCGAGAGACGTAGAGTGAGGGGCGATATGATAGGGGTGTATCAATGGAAGTCAGGGTTTTTCCAAGGTTAGAAGCTTCAAAAAAGTTGTTGGTAGCGAAAGTCAGAGCGGGGAAGATGACAGAGGAAGGAGCAGGAGGTTAGGAAGTGAATTGTAGTGGGAGAGATAGTGCCGTGGCTTTACACTACTGCGTTTATTTGGTTAGCGCATAGCGCACGTATTGGGTTTTTGTCTGTGTTTGGTGTGTGATCCTCGGGTCACCACTCCTCAGATTGTGTTAGTTCCAAGATTAGAAGCTCCAACAACTTTCCCTAAATACGAATTCGCAACCTTTCGATTTATAACAGGTACCTACTTTACTGCTAGGTGAACAGGGACCAAGGGGGCTTGGAAGAGTGTCCAAACAACTTCCGCCTGCCCGGGAATCGAACTGGTTTGGAAATAGAGTTGGGGATAAGTGGAACAAGTTACCGAACATCATCATTAACTCGAATACGCTGGGTAGCTTGAAATGTAGGTTGGACGGATACATAAGCGATTGGAGTTGGGTATACACGGGGCTGCTAAGTATGAGCCAAATGGCCCGCTGCAGTTCCCTCCATTCTTTTGTTCCTGTGTTCTGAAGTCTGGACTTACCCCTGAAGATGTGAATTACAGTAGACGAAAGCTCTTGGGAACTTCGTCTTTTCCTTTTTTCTATGTGGTTATCAGCATAATAATAATAATAATAATAATAATAATAATAATAATAATAATAATAATAATAATAATAATAATAATAATAATAATAATAATAATAATAATAATAATAATAATTAATAATAATAATAATAATAATAATAATAATAATAATAATATATATAATAATAATAATATTAATATTATATTATTATTATTATTATTATTTTTTTTTTTTTAATATAATAATAATAATAATAATAATAATAATAATAATAATAATAATAATAATAATAATAATAATAATAATAATTAATGGTTTATTCAAAGAACATAGCAACCAAAAGACTGAAAATATACAGTTACATAGACGATCATTTAAATACTCATAATACGTATAAAAGACTAACTTCACGGGTAACCAAACCTAACATCTTATGATGGTAAACGACCTCTTAATTGAAACAACAGTCTTCACATTGTCCTCTTCGTCCTGTATGTCATCAACACTATTAGGTTCTGTGTCACTCTCTTTCTTCATTAGTTCAGGTATTAATTACCTAAAATATTAATAAACTTATTATCATAAGGCGAGGAACCTAAATAAACATAACTTTGGATAAATAAAGTCCCTCAAGCAGTACGTTCAAACCATTCAAAACAAACTTCAAAATCGTGTGTATGACGTCTACAAAATCTCTCTCATCTCATTATTCGTTTACTTATCTATACTTAATTTTTTTGTTAGTATATCTATTCATTTCATATTATAGCGATATATGTCTGTTTCAGTGTGGTGAGCGATAGAGGCGCCCTCAACTGGTCCTGCCCCTGGTGACGAGCTCAATCTCTTCACCAGGGGCAGGACGCATTCCTCCAGCACCCGGACTGACCTACACAGACGACACAGGCGAGGACCATCTAGAAGGGGCTGTGCTGCTGCTGGGATTCGAGACAACTTGAGATTAAGGACAAAGGTCAATGTTTCTGCACTATGGCTGCAAGGCGTTGAAGTTAGGAAATGTTACGACCAAAGACTTTCCTACAGGACTTGCACCTATCACATCATGAATGAGGTGTTAAATTTCTACAACTATATCGGTAATCTCTTGGGCTGCGGAAATAACACAAGTCCTGTTTAACACAAGTGCTTCAGGACCTACACCTTTTGTGCATAATACAAGTGCTTTGAGATCGATTACTTCTCTATTTCTACAAGTACAGGACCGACTCCTGTCTTGGTCTACACAATCACTACAGAATCTATACAATTGCCACAGCATCTACATCTTTCCTTGTCTACAACTTCAGAATCTGTGCCCATCTTGACCTACAACTTCAAAATTTGTGCCCATCTTGACCTACAACTTCAGGATCTGTGCCCATCTTGACCTACAACTTCAGGATCTATGCCCATCTTGACCTACAACTTCAGGATCTATGCCCATCTTGACCTACAACTTCAGGATCTATGCCCATCTTGACCTACAACTTCAGTAGCCACGCCTGTCCTTTTCTTCAACTAAATAACATACAATTGCCTTGATATGCCGGCAGCTGTCATCAGCCTTTGTGTGTGATCTAGGAGGTCCTGACGAACTGGAACACGCGAAAGGCCCCGTACAGTATTGTGTTATGTTTAGAGTGAATGTACGAATTTATTACTCCACATGTTCCACTTGCCATGTTTACTACACATTATATCACTCGGAATATAAATTATTTGCGATTCATAAATATTATTCATGATTGAAAAAAGGAACGTTTATCCCATATGAATTAATAAGTATTTTCTTGATTCCATCTGTATCTCAAATTTGCTTATGAGAAATTTATTCCAATGTCTCCAACTTAGAGATTAAGACTTTAATTTTTGTTCTTACGTCTGAGATCCTAATCATAAGCAGCCGTCGCCATATACAATGTATTTAACAAAATATCCAGAGATCGACCTACACCTCACACACCGGTACTGTTAGTGAAGCGTCGGTAACTGCTCTTATAGTCAACCTTTTAATGGTCAGTAACCAGAGTTAAGTAGTTAGCAGATCTAGAAAAAATCGTAAATGGTGACAGCATATTGGAGTGTTTGAGGCTCCCGCAGCTCTGAAACTTACGAGGAGCATGCTGGGATGCCCACCTACACATACATAAATTACAACTTAATTTTTCAGTAGCCCTTGGTAGTAATTAGGAAATAAAACAGACCTTAACTATGAAGTGTAAGTTACCTGGAAAATAAATAGGAAATTGTCTATAATACCTAAATTGACATTCATTTCTCAAATTTTGAAACGAAAAGCAACACTTTCTTAATTTCACGGAACCTTATGAACTATACATATGTAACTGCAAAAACATCAAGGGAAACGACATCCGGGCAGTGAAACGGTGAACCCTGGCTGAGTCATATAGCAGAGTTCTTCAATAAGTCATCAGTTGCTAGTAAGTTATCCACAGGGGCCACTTTATATAGTTGACCGTCTCCATCGTAAATTTATCGCCAGCCTGTGCTCCGTTTTTACTTTAAACCGAAGTGAGTGTGAGTACACGAGTGAGACGAAGGCTTTATCTACCATTATAGTGTCATCATTAATAAATAAAAGAAAATAATTGGAAATAAAGCAATCGATAGCATATCTATTGTTACTGTTGCAATAAAAACATAAAAACAAGAGGAGAAAATAAATAAGATATTAAATTGACAATGGTATTCTTTATATCCCTTTCCCTTGATAAAGATACAGTACATCTGTAACATAGTAAAGCTGACATGGTGTCCTCGCCCGTGGTACCTCATGAGCCTGTTCGCTACTCCAATTCTATTTAAGCTTTTAACTGTAAACATTCACGACTTACTAAGCACATTACTAAGATAACACGAAAATTTATCATTGAACTTCACAGCATCAGCCATCTGTGAATCACATACACACACACACGCACACACACACACATACCTGTCTCCCTGGCGACGCACCACTAACGCCTAGTAAAACTCGCTGCTGTCTTCCTTACAGGATTATCAATACACTGTGCACTGGTCTACAAATTTTGACAAATCTTGTGCTTCGGAGATAAAATGGTTTTCACTTAATGGATTTGGGGGCGCTGAAAACGAATATAACCATAAAAGCTATTGATTGGCTACAGTTTCCAAGAAAATATAATTATCACATTTTGTTTATATGTATACAATATATTAGTAACCTATAATGGTCAATTACTTATTTTGATCAAACCCTTATTCTTTTTGCTTGTCTCTTGTACAGTATTCAAGTTCTAGGGCATCTCTTGTTACTGTCCAGCAGTAATCTACTAACACTGATGGGCTCCATTTAACCTGGTAACATTTCTCCATCGTTGAGATATCCTGGGGGAATGGTGGAAATATTCACCATGTTCATCGCTGACTGCTCCGCAGTTGGCCAGAAAAAAATTCAGATGACAATGGAGGAAATGTATCTTTAATGACATATTGCAGCCCATTTTTTATAGGACAACAGCAGGATTTCCACCAGCTAGCTCCCTGTAATTATCAGCTTTAGTATTTCCGAGAAAATTGGTTGCCACTAACCGGAAAGCATCCTACACTGTCTTCTCCTCATCACTCAGGATACAGTAAAATTCCTCATCTCTGAGGATCTCGCTTTGGGAATTTACCACCGAGGTACTTAAAGGCTGCCCCTGTTTTATCCAAAGCCTTAACAAAACTCTTCATGAGGCCTAGTTTGATGTGTAAGGATGGTAACAAAATCTTCCTTGATTTTACAAGTGGAGGATACTGAACATATTTTGTTCCAGGTTCCAATGAGTGTCGGACTGGCCAATCTCTCTTGATGTAATGAGAAGTCCTTGCCTAACTGTCCCATTCACACAGAAAACAGCAGTACTTAGTGTAGCCTGGATGCAGTCCAAGCAAGATAGCAACAACCTTCAGGTCGCCACAAAGCTTCCACTGATGTTTGTTATAGTTTATACTGTTCAAAAGTTGCTTCATGTTGCCATACGTTTCCCTCGTGTGGGCAGCATGACCAACTGGAATTGATGGCAACACTCTGCCAACAGGTTTCGCAGGTTCCGTCATCTTCTTCGTCCTCTGACTCCAGGGAGAATGAGTCCGGGGGTTCAGGAATGGGTAGTCCTTCGCCGTGAGTACCGGGCGTATAGCAGATGGTATTTTCGATATTGTAAAGGCCACTTTTTCTTCTTGTAATTACCTTTCTTAACTGACACTGCAAAAGGCACAGCTTTCCTTTTACGATTCAAGCACTGGTGAAGGTTCGTTGCACAAGTATTGCAGCATATGTGAGGGGCCCAGCTCTTGTCCTGATCTCCAATCTTGCAGTCAAAATAAAGATGATAGGCTTTCCTAATCAAGGCAATTATAGCACACTTTTGTGATGCAAAAATCAATTCTCCACAAACTTAACAAAGTTATCTGCACTGTTCACTCACTTACGAGGCATCTCTGTTCAAATTAGGCTAAAAAATCATCAAAGTCAAAAGAAAATACTGAAAAAAAACTTTATGGAAGGAGTATGACACGTATGCACTGTATGACATCCGGGAATGAATTGATGCAATACAGTAAGCAGGGAGATGTAATACCTGGGGTCTGATTGCATCATCCACTTCCTGTCCCAAAGGTTGCCAGAAGAGCAAACAGTGCCAAAATCAATTTTAAGTCACACAATTGGTCCATTCAGTACTCACCTGCCCCCCCAACAAGTTTATTCGCCTCCACCCCCCTTCTCTATTCAAGAATACTGGCTATGGGCCTGATCCCATGTCTTCATAAATAGAGCCAAATGACAATTTTTAGTATCATTTTTGGACTCAGCGCCCCCAAATGAGTAAAGATTGACTACTCTCATTTCAGAAGCATTTTGGCTGTAGACCGGTTATAATTACCCTCTTAATCAGCATATCAGTAAGCCATATAACTTCCTCCCAACCTCAGGTAAACCAGGATTCATGGAGGTCAGAGGCCTTGGAGTGGCGTCATTTTCATGTTGTGCAACACACTGGTGTCATGACAATACCATTGAGCTATACTTATTCCCTGGCTGAAATATTTTCCAGGGCTAAACACGTTTATCATATAGTTAATGATGGGTGCAGTTATTTATGTTCAGGAGAATTTCTCCTGGCTATAAGATACATCGTGCTTTATGTAGCTACTTCACTCCTGAGCAGTTGCTCCAAGTATATATGGGATTCATTCGTCCTTACTTGGAGTACTGCTCTCATATCTGGGGTGGCTCTTCTTCAGTCCAACTGTTAGATTGGGTGGAATCAAAGGCATTTCGTCTTATTAACTCTTCTCCTTTAGTTGATAATCTTTCTTCCCTTTCTCTTCGCCGCAATGTTGCTTCACTCTCTCTCTGCCTTCTTCTGTGTTTCCATACTCTTACAATCTGTATCACTTTAAAAAGCTGGTGTATATTAATATGATCTTTTTCTTTTCTATTTGTAATTTATTTTTACTCATATTTTTTTCGCCCCCAAGGCCCCGTTGTGGGTCGATGACCTGTGACTGGGTGGGCTTTTCCCAGTAAAAAAAAAATAAAATAACAAACCTCTTTGAAGTCTTTTTAGTACTACATCACTTGGTTCTTTAACTATATATGCCATCTGAAATAATAAGAAGACGTGTCTGTCTTTCAGTGTCTGTGTCTATTTGTTCCAGCCATAGACCCAAAACGGAATGAGTTTGAGACCTGAAACCTTATACACATCAGACATGGGTCCCAAGGTTGTGTACCTTGGTAATGCTATTGACCACAGACGCAGGTGGTCTAGGCAAGAACCAAAAATCTTCCCCGACTGATACCTTACCCGTGCGCAGCCCAAGAATTTTGCAACTACTGTACTACATAAAATATCTGTAGGGGTTTACACTATGGAGAGACTGTAGTAAGGTTTAATTTGAGTCTAACATTCCTGTAGGACAAACCAAAAGAAATGTGAACTACCCCCTCAGAGAGTGTACATAACACAGGTACAGCCTCTTCCACTTCCAACTAGCACAATCAGCGTTATCAATACACCCTCTCTGTGTAGTGTGAACCCCGGGAGTATCGACTCTTGAATCCGAAGCATTGAGGAGCGAGGAGAGAGGAAGGCCTGAGGAGGACTGGAGCCGGTGTGTGAGTGGGTGACTGGGTAACGCGGAGGTTAAGGAGGGTCAGGGTGTAGGGGGAATAGAGTGGTGAGAGAGAGTTAAGCAGTTACCTGTTCAGTTACAACGCATGATATATTAAGTAAAGATATAAATACGTAGGACAAAACACAAAATATGAGTAGAATGTGTTACCGCACATTAGGGCAGTATTCTCAGCTTGTGCTAAAAGTTTGAACTATTCATGCATATTTACTATCCAGAGTTTACGAGATCATGGGCCACTGTGATGACAATACCCATCAGGTGGTATACACAATACAGATGTGTACACTACACCCGCAGGAAGTTTACACAACACAGATATGTACACTACACCCGCAGGTGGTGTACACAATACAGATATGTACACTACACCCTTAGGTGGTGTACACAATACAGATATGTACACTGAACCCTCAGGTAATGTACACAATACAGGTATGTACACTACACCCGCAGGTAGTGTACACAACACACGTATGTACATTATACTTCCACCTCAGGCAGTGTACATAACACATGCATGTACACTACACCCTCAGGCAGTGTACACAGCTCAGGTATGTACACAACCCCCTCAGGCAGTGTACACTACACAAGTATGTACACTACACCCTCAGGTGGTATACACAACACAGATATGTACATTACACCCGCAGGTAATGTACACAATACAGATATGTACACTACACCCTCAGGTAGTGTACACAGCACAGGTATGTACACAACCCCCTCAAGCAGTGTACACTACACAAGTATGTACACTACACCCTCAGGTAGTGTACAAAACACAGGTATGTACACTACACCCGCACGGAATGTACACAATACAGATATGTACACTACACCCTCAGGTAAATGTACACAATACAGATATGTACACTACACCCTCAGGTGGTATACACAACACAGGTATGTACACTACGCCCGCAGGTAATGTACAAAATACAGATATGTACACTACACCCTCAGGTGGTGTACACAATAGAGGTATGTACACTACACCCGCAGGTAATGTACACAATACATATATGTACACTACATCCTCAGGTGGTGTACACAATAGAGGTATGTACACTACACCCGCAAATAATATACACAACACAAGTATGTACACTACACCCGCAGGTAATATACACAATACAGATATGTACACTAAACCCTCAGGTAATGTACACAATACAGGTATGTACACTACACCCGCAGGTAGTGTACACAACACAGGTACGTACAGTATACTTCCACCTCAGGCAGTGTACACAACACAGGTATGTACACAACCCATCAGGCAGTGTACACTACACAGGCATGTACACTACACCCATAGGTAGTGTACACAGCACAGGTATGTATACAACCTCCTCAAGCAGTGTACACTATACAAGAATGTACAGTACACCCTCAGGCAGTGTACACAGCACAGGTATGTACACTACACCCTCAAGCAGTGTACACAACACCGGCTCCTACTACCACCTGAGATCCCTAGCCCGAGAATTGCTGTTCGATACCACAACCGCATCCAGCCCATACGTGCAC